AGTAAAATTTTTGTTCATTTGTACCCTGTAACCTACTCTCTTTCCTCCAGCAATAAAGGTAATATAGATTCACTGTGAAAGGTTTGCAAGAAACAAATTTTAATTTCCTGACACTTTTCAGATTTTCCAGACATTTTTCTCTATTTTTCTGCACTCAACAAAATAAAATTTATTCCCACCCAATAACACTGTAATATAAATTACATATTTATAGTGGAGATGTACTCACTGTGTATGCAGCATTAGGGACAAACCTTTCCTCTACCAGGTGAGGGTTTTCAATTACAGCACTCCTCCTACAGAAGAGGCAAGCAACCCCATCTCCCTGTCTACAGTGAAAGTGGTTCACAGAAGGACACAGATACTTAAGTTGTCCTTTCCTGAGATTTCCCTGTTGGAGCTAGCAGAGAAGACCCTCTCTCCTTTGGGGTTATGATACTAGGAAGATGCTGCATTATATCTTAGATAATGTAAAGGCAGTTAAGAGAACATATTGAAGAAAGCAGTCCAGGAAGAGAGACAGACATAGTAAAAAATGTAGCACCATCATCTTAGCCAATGAATTCAGCCATACTTATACTTCCTGGTGATATGAGCCAAATACACAGTCTTTTTAGTTTAAACTAATTTGACATGCATTCCTGTCCCTTATTCAAGAGCCCTGACCAATACAATTTACAAAACATTTTTCTTTCCTTTTTTAAAAAATGATTTTGTTTATTTCTTTTTAGAGAGGGGGGAAGGGAGGGAGAAGGAGAGGGACAGAAACATCAATGTGTGGTTGCTTCTCATGTGCCCCCTACCGGGGACTCAGCCCACAATCCAGGCATGTGTCCTGTCTGGGAATTGAACCCGCAACCCTTCAGTTTGCAGGCTGGTGCTCAATCCGCTGAGCCACCCAGGGCTCATAAGTTTTTCATATCATTGAATATTCTTTAGAAGCATGGTTTGAAATGCTGATATAGCTACTCCATCACATGAATATACCATAATTTATCTATCATTACCTTATTTGTATTAATATTATTAGTATTTTCCTATTATTGATAATTTGGGCCATTTTCTAATAACTTACAATTAAACAGTTTTAGAAGCCTCAACTGTACAAATTTCATCTTTATGAAGACTATATGCAGAATACCAAATGTGTGTACAGCATAGAAAACAATGCCTCTCAGACTTATAAAAGGTATACTGTTTGAAAATCTAGTCTTAGGGATCCCCAACATTTATTTTTTCAAGCAGTCAGTTACTGGGACAACAATCTCAGAAAAATAGCCTACAACCTCCTTGTTCCTCTTATACGCCCAATGAATGACAAAGTGAGACTCTTTATACTAAACACAGGAATCCCTAAAAAGCTATTCTCCTGTTCTTGCCCTACATTAATCTAACAGTTCTTTTTCAAATGAGATTATATATTCTGTACACACTGATTCGAAATCTTTTTAAAAGAGAGTAGTGTTCATTTTAATTTGCTAAATCATGTTCTAAGGTTCTTTATAATATGAGCAACTAAAGTGCAAGCCATCATTTGTCTGCAGATCTTATTAAAATGGTGACAAACAAGAGATTCTGTAAGGTAGGTATCCTATAGTTAAGACTCATCTCTACCCTCCCAAAAAAGTAGACAAAAAAAAAGAAGTAAATTTTTAGGGCATTAAAACAGCTATATATTAAAAGAAGAAACAATGCTAGTAAACATTCATTCACTAATCATAACTATGAGCTTGACTAGGGCATATGAGGCTCACAGCTGGAAATATATTTAACCAAGTGGAATTTTTCTACCTTTTTAACAAAATTTTTTCCTTGTAATACATTTAAATGCAAATGTACAATGCTGTACATATCACAGGACCTACTGAAGAATAACTTTTGGTATGAAGTCAATCTGTTTTAAACCCTTTTTAAATGATTAGAAATACTAAGCAATTTCATGCTAGAATGTCTGGACTGTGGAATTATCATATAATGAACTTATCAAAAACATTATCAACTTAATGAATGGCACTATAGTTGTTATTTAGTATTAGTATACCAGGAAATAATCTATAAATCTGTAAAATTAGCACTGGATTAAAAGACATTTACCTGTACCATCTCCTATCTCTGCATTCCCTGCCACATAAATTCCTCTGCTTAGAAAATGCCTGCTTCTGCCTAAAATAAAAATCTTAAGGTATTAGAAGAGGTCAAGAGTACTAATTTCATCTTCACGAATGTTGCTCAGTTGGTTGAGCACTGTCCCGCAAATCGAAAGGTTGCCGCCAGTTCAGTTCCTGTGCAGGGGAAATGGGTTTTGGATTTGGTATGAGAAGTAACCAGTTGATGTTTCTCACCTATCTCCCTCCATTTCCCTCTCTCTAAAAATAAATAAAGTAAAAAACCCAAACTGGATTTATTTTATGTTTGTTTCTTTTTAAACCAAGTTTGTTTGCTTTGAGATCTTGGGAACAAATTGTTATTTACTTTCTTGGATTAAAACTATAATTTTAAGCCCTGGCTGGCGTAGCTCAGTGGATTGAGCGCAGGCTGTGAACCAAAGTGTCGCAGGTTCGATTCCCAGCCAGGGTACATGCCTGGGTTGCAGGCCATAACCCCCAGCAACCGCACACTGATGTTCCTCTCTCACTCTCTCCCTCCCTCCCTTCCTCCTCTATAAAATAAATAAATAAAATCTTAAAAAACACACACAAAAAACTATAGTTTTAGAAACAGATTTTCACTTTTTCCAATGGTAGTCTACCTACTCATTTCTACTACCTTGGGCAAAACCAAAAAGTACCCCATCGTGTTAACATTTATCAGGAGACAACCTACAAAAGGCTGAATACATATATGTGGTCAGAAATTCTCATGCTTTTAGTTTTAACATTTTGACTAAAATGAGGTGATGGGAAAATTTCCAACACACAACACATTTTTAAATAAAAAATAAGTTTCCCTAGAACAGCGAGTCAATTCTGTAGATGCTAAATCTTAAACTAACAAACAAAACAACCCAGGCAAATAACTATTAAAAACAAACAAACCTAAAACTTTTAGTAACATGTAAGCATGAAATAGCGACCAAACCCTTAATCTTTTTTTTTTAAAACATAGTAGTTTAAGGAAATTAACTAAGGCAGTAAAAAATAAAATATTAAATAAATATTGTGCCACACAAAAAGAGTTTAACTAATAGTAAACAAAGCATAAAAGCTTTCACCACTTGACATCTATCTGGGAATCCAGAATGGTATCCATGCAAGAGATATGGGGAGACGGACAATTATTTAACAGAATGCTGAGGGAAAAAATTTCATTTAATTATGTAGTAGTGTAAGATCTTTTTTTGGTTAAGAACTTTTCAAACAAGACGAACCACCTATATATTCAACTTTATATTGTACATGAGGTATAACAGGCCCTAAAAGGTGGCGGAAAGTCAAATTAAACAACTGAATGAATATTCAATTAAAATTCTTGCACAAATTAATATAATGATGACCTTCAAGTTAATCATAGTGCTAATGAGTCATGTATGTATTGAAAGCTATTGCTTAGGAAAAACAGGAGCAGAAAGACTTAAAAACACAAACTAAAAATACAAACATATTTAAAAGAAACACTTGCATTGTTACAAAAATATCTGTAATACAAGCATGTAATAAATAAAAACGCCTAAGATGTCACAAGTAACTTATTCTTAATAAAGTGAAGGCACTGCCTACAACTGATTTAGTTTGCACAAACATAAAACATAAGGCAGAAATCATAATTATTAGCAAAGTTTTACATCTGACTTTAAGGATGCTCAAAACCTCTACCATGACTTTCACATAATAGCAATCATCTTCCTTGCCCTTTTGCAAATATGCCTTCTTTTAAAATGGAAAGCTTCATTGGAAGTGACTTTACAAAGTAGTTTTACACTAATTCAAAAACGATTATTAATATTTGAGAGCCTCTGGCACTTAAAATATAAGAATTCCCAAGCATTCATAACTTTATGATAATGCAGCATCACTACAGTGTACATGAACCATGCAGAAAAACGCAACTCCATTTTTTAAAAAGCGAAGTTGATGTTGATTCTTGGTCTAGATACTTTTTTACTTCCCACACAGATCATATTTTTGAGCAGCAACCTGAAATGTCAGTGAATTTTTTAAAAACCTGTAAATCTGTTCATGAATTAAAACGTAAATGTTTTGAAATTATCATTCAGCTGCATAAATTCATTTATTTTTTCATCGTTGATATTTTCAACTTTAAATAGTGGGTCATTTCTAAGCCAAGAAAAAATACCACTGGGTCAACACCCTTGTTACCTGTCTCTGCTCACCAAAACAAACAAAAAGCAGAACCTCCTTCCCAGCTTTTCTCTTTACACACAAGTAGTTCACCTACTTTTCCCATCTATCTTTGCTCTGAATTCTCCACAACACCTTCACCTTAAACCAAAACGAACCCTGGGCAAGATTAATTAAGCTATGTTTCCAGGAGACCCGTTTCATGGCCCGGCCTGGGAGCAGAAAGGCTTCCCGCCCCCTCTTCGCCCCCAGTTTTCAGACCCTTCTCCCAGCATTTCGCACCAGCTCAGTACAAGTATGAATAAGGGGGCCCCCCCGCAATGCTGGGGCCGAAAGGGCAGAGCCGGGGCCTAGACCACTACACAGCCCCAGAAGCGGCTCGCGCGATAGGGAGGTGGTAGCGGCACCGAGAACCGGACGCCGGACGCCAGGGTTGCCTAAATAAATGGAGGAGGCGCTCCGACTTGGAGCGTAAGGCTCGGGACCCCCTTTGCTGCCTCGTTTACCCTCCCCTCCCCCATGCTGGAGAAGCAGGGCGCCAGCCGGTGCGGGAATGGGGAGGAGGTAAACCCGTCCTGTCACTGCACCGGGAGAAGTTGGAAGGAGCACATGTTCTACGGAGGGAGGCCGCGGCCGCCCCTGCCCTGGCCCCTAAAGCCAGACACCACTTCCAGCCCTCCAGGTTCGTCCCCTGCGCCTCACCAGGTCGTAGTCCTCTTCATCATCGCACATGAAATCATCTTCCATGTCAGACATCTTGGCCGGGAAAGGGGGAGGGGGAGGAGAAATTGGAGACAACCTCCTCCCACAATCCTCCGCGGCTGAGGCGTCACTCCCAGCTTCTCCTTCCCTTCCCGTCTCTCTTAGAGGAGCTAAATGTTTCCACCCGGAACAAATACGCTCGGCACGGGGAGGATTCACTACGACTCCAAAAGGGAGTGCACTGCTCTTTCTTCCTGCGAGACGGTTGGTGCCTTAGCAACTAAACCTAGCAACCGGGGAATTGTCAAGTGCTGGGGAACTCAGCTAAAGGGCCTTGGAAACCTTGTGCTCACATCAAGCAGTTTCCAGCCTCCTAGGCAAGGGAACAGTCTCCTCCCTTGCCTGGGACTCTGGAACCATCTCATTCTGGTGAAAATTAGAGTCAGACTAGAACCAGAAGCCTTTTGCGGAGTAAAGGCTGACATGCCCGTATTGAATGACAGGTAGTGTTACTTCTACCATCATTATCTACATGCTTTTAGCCTACTCATTGCGGTGAGTGTTCCTGTGGTGTTTGGAGACCTTTACAACAGTACGGTTTTACACGTAATGTTTGTTATATTTGTAGTCGGCAAAATGATTCTGTGGATTTCCCAAATTAGTTGAGCATCAACCAGTTGAGGCGCCCAAAGTCTTACTCAGTTGTTCAACAAATTTTAAACTGACATGTTCTGCTCTTAGGACCATATTAAGGTGGCAGTTAACAGCCGGTTTTTAAAAATGTATGGTTGCACAAAATCATCAGCATAATTCGAAACAAGAAAATGAAATAAAGGGGAAAACTACTTAACATTTTTATATAATGCTAAGTGTGGACTCAGTTCTGCCCACTTGAGTCCACAAATTTTATATAGTTATAGCACAGATATAATTTCACATTCTTTTTGTATCTAGTTATGTAACAGCATAGGATATGTGTACAATATATTCTTGACAATGATGATTTTAATAGTTGTTTAATAATCCCTCCTTTGAATGAACCAATATACCTTAATTTACATTAGCATGCCATTTTGATACATTTAGAATGTTGCAAAAATAACACTATTTTAAACAATTTTGCAGTGAATATCTTTGTCACTTTGTCTCTGGAAAAAGTCAAAGGAGCATTACAGGCTGGATTTTTTTAGTAATGAATTGATTATTTGATTTAGTAATCACATTTTAGTAATTTGTTGATTTACTAATCACATTTTTGGTCATAGTTCTTTTTTTAAGATTTTATTTATGTATTTATTTTTTTTTTAGAGAGGGAAGGGAGGGAGAAAGAGAGAGAGAAACATCCATGTGCGGTTGCTGGGGGTCATGGCCTGCAACCCACGCGTGTACCCTACTGGGAATCGAACCTGCGACGCTTTGGTTCGAAGCCTGGGCTCAATCCACTGAGCTATGCCAGCCAGGGCTGGTCATAGTTCTTAAAAGTCATATAACAATATTGCATACGTATAAACAAATTTTCCCTAATAGTTTTTTCTCCCATTATTTTATTATGAGAAATTTCAAACATACAGTCAAATTGAGAGAATAGTCCACTCAACATGTGTATATCCACAATCAGCCTTATTTGTGTTTGTATGTATTTCTTCAAAGTAAGATGCAGATATGAAATCACTCTTAAATGCAGCTATGTGTATTTCCTAAAAATAAAGACATTTTCTTGTGTAATTATATCATTGTTACACTAAGAAAATTAATCATTCCTCAATATCATCTAATAGCCAGTGCATGTTCAAAATTTCCTTATTAAACATATAATTTTAGAATTGGAAGAGCCTTAAGTGATACCATGTTAGAGTCCAAGGCTTCCCAGTCATAGCAGCTCATTAAATTACAGCTTCCCAAACTCCACACCAGAGATTTGAATCAGTAGATCTGGGGTAGAGCTCAGGAATCAGTACTTGAAACCTTGCAACAAAACAAAATCTCCCTATGCTGGGATGATTATCCATCTCAGTTTGCTCAGGACAGCCCTGGTTTAGTACTGTTTTCCCAGAATAATAATTATCAGCATCTATCATTCTCAGAAGTTTAGACAATAGGTCACATGGTTACTCTACCAGAAATTAATAATTCTTCAAGAGAAAGTTGAATCTTAAGATGGTCAAAGATTTATCTGCTCAGAGTGATCAGAGCTATATAGTTTTGCTTCCTAATTAATGAAACAATTTTGAAATCATCAACCATGTATGTACTGATCACATGTATAAAAATCATTTTATTGAATGTATTTATATAATTTACTGCTTTTTAATGTAATTATTCACTCCTACAATGAAGAAAGAATTGTTCAAGTAAATTATTGACTAGGAACATTAGGAAAAATGTAGCTAAATTTTGAGCATAATATCCTGGTCATCTCCAAATTTCATAAACCCAGTCTGGAAATTTGCTAAGAGCAGTTAAAGTGGTCTGCATTGTGCTTAGCATATTCCTTGAGTACACAAGTGTAATAAATGTTTGTTGAATAAACAAGCATGTTAATTAATCTTTCTGCGCTGGGAATGCCCTTATATGTATCACTACACATCAAAATCTTTTTTGTCCTTGAAAGTTCATTTGAATGTCACCTCATTCACACAGCATATTCTGAATACTTTGTGCAGGTATGAAATCCTTTTTCTTGATATCAGTTTTACTGAGTGGTAAATAATAAACAAATTTTTATTTTAATTAACTGATGTGACAATTAATTGGTGCCCTTGTTGAAGTGGATGCAATGTTTTTAAAAAACAGAAAAAGCTTTGTTGAGGTACATTAAACTGTACATAACATGTATAATTTGATGAAGTTTCATGTGGGGGAGCTTTGCCCGCAGAGCCCCCAGTCTACCATGGATGAGAATAAGTCTACCAAGGCATGATCTGCTTGGGGAGGAAAGGTGGCTGAACTCTCAAAGGAGAAGGGGCAGGAGCTTTTTCCTCAGTGGGCTTTTATTGGGTTCAGTTTGCACAGGAATACAGGTAAAACTCATCAATCATTGTCAGGCAGTAAGGATCAAACAATAAATAACACACAAAAAACTATAAGGGCTTATTCTGAGTCAGGGTCAGTTAGCTAAAGGGCCATGAAACTTCGGGAAACAAAACTCATTTCAAGCTTGGATCCTTATCAGAAAACTGAGGACATTCTTAGCAAAGCAGGTTTCACAGGATTTTGTATATTCTTTCTTAGGCCTGATTGCCTAGGGAACCCGTCTTTCGGGCACAGGGCCACACCCACCTCCAGCATTGTTTCAGGCTTAAGTCAGGCAGGGGAAGTAAGGCAGCCCAGAGATTAGGAGACTTTTCGCAGACTGAATGAGCATTTAGGCTACGTCAAAGCCGAGGGCTGAGGGTCCATCATCCCCTTTTTCTATAGCCCCCCAAGTCCTTCCCTGAGGGCTCCTTTGTGACCATGCCTGTCTTAGGTCACCCCTCCCTTCTGGAATCTTACCAGTCATTCCCTAACCGGTCATCCACCCGGGGGGCCAAGCAGGGGCAGAGGCAGGGCCCTTGGCAGGAAGATAAGCTTTGTCTCCTGAGTGGCTTAGGGTCCCAAGGTTTCTTACTCATCCTTAGCCATGGTGGGTTACAGCTTCTGAAATGAGGCAGGGTGGTTCCCAACATTTTGACTTATGTGTAAATCTGTGAAACCATCACCACGATGAAGATAATAAACATATTTATCACTATAGAATTTTCTCATCACCTTTCGGTAATTTGTCTCCTCCCTTCAATTTTTCCAGGAAATCACTGGTCTGTTTGTTTTGTCACAATAGATTAGTTTACTTTTCTGGAGTTTGATGTAAATAAAGCATCTAGTATGTACTCTCTTTTGCCTGGCTTCTTTCACTCAGTAAAATTATTTTGAGATTCATCCATGTTGATGCCTGTATCAGTTGGTTGTTTCTTTTTATTGCTGGATATTCCATTGTATGGATATACTACAGTTTATCCTGTTGATGGGTATTTGACTCTTTTTAGTTTTTGACGAATACAAATAAAGCTGCTAAGAACATTTGTCTACAGGTTTTTGTACAGACATGTGTTTTATTTCTCTTGTGTAATGTGGTGGATGGACTCCAAGGTGGTCTCATTACTCATGCTTTTGAATAATACTTTCCCTCAGGGGTGACCAACCTTTTGGCATCTCTGGGCCACACTGGAATAAGAAGAGTTGTCTTGGGCCACATATTAAATACATTGCAACACATGATCACAAAAAAGAAATCTCATAACGTATTAAGTAAATGTACAATTTTGTGTTGGACCACATTCATAGCCATCCTGAGTTGCTGTGGCTGGGGGGCTGTGGGTTGGACACCACTGCTCCCTTTTCAGTATGGGTGAAATCTGACTTGCCTTTTAAAAAAAGAAACTTTGTTGGGGTATAATTGACAAATAAATGTCAATTGCTTTTAACTACAAGATACAGCAAAGGTGATGTACATGATGACATTACACAAGATTGTAAACCCATCTTGCTAGGACAGACTCTGTCTCCTTTTCTGGCTTTTAAAAAGCAAATGGCCTGTGCTTTTAAAAAGCACATGGTCCTTCATGTGGCAAAGAGCTGAGGGTGGCATTGAGCCAACAGCTAGCAAGAAACTGTGGCCTTCATGCTGACAACCTAATAAGAACCGAATTCTGCTCACAGCTGTGTGATCTTGGAAATGAATCCTTCCCCAGCTGAACCTCAGATAATACTTTGTGAGACTATAGAGCAGGGGTGTCAAACTCATTTTCACTGGGGGCCTCATCAGCCTTGCGGCTGCCTGTAAAGAGCCTAATGTAATTTTAGGACTGTATAAATGTAACTACTCCATAACAGTAAAGCGAGAGCTTGGTGCTGCTGCTGGGTAGAAACAAGGTGGAAGACTGAATTCGGCCCACAGGCCTTGTGTTTGCCACCTCTGCCCTAGAGAGAGGAGCCAGCTAAGCTGTGCCCTGACTCTGAACCATAGAAACAGGTAATCAATGTGTATTGTTTTATACTAAATTTGTGGTAATATTGTTATACAGCAGTAGAAATGAATGACAGGTAAATACCTAGTAGTAGAATGGTTGGATTATATGGTATGT